ACTTGATGCGAAAAAAATGTAAGATGCATAACTATTTAACTCCAACCACCCTATTTTATCTTTTTTTTTGACTTACTTCTCTTTATAATCGCTCTTTTATGGGTTCTAAAAGACTCACACCTTTAGTTTGATTATTCCATAGTTCTTATTCTTTAAGTGTTCATTTTGTTTTTAGGGTTTTCTGAATTGATGTTCAAATATTTGGGTAAATATGAAAAATCACAAATACAATCACTCTTGCTTTCTCATTTTTGGCTCTCTCTCTTACACACATGCATAACAGCATCATAACTATGCATCTTAATATAGCAAGCTTTCATGATTTTTCATCCTTAAAAGTTACTATATTTTATTTGCTTTTTTTATTATATATTCTTCATCTTGTTGTTTACAACAACACATGCATGGTTTTTCTTTCTCTTTTACACATACACATAAATTTATACATTTCAATCAATACAAGCTTTGATATTCTTTTAATTATTTTTTAATTTCTTTCTTTCTTATGCATTTCCTTCTCTTCAATCTTGTTACTCATGAGCATTAAAGCTTTAGTATGACATTTGTATTTTTCACTGAAATTAAAGTTAATAAAGATGTTTTGATCACTTCACATAAAATAAACTAACATGAAAAGCAATAAAAAGATAAAGAAAGCTTTATTTATTCATAATTTATGAATCTTATTTCACATTTTTTGAAATTAATATATTTTATATGTTACAAGTTACTTTGGAACATTTTTAGGAATCAAAGAAAGAAAACCTAGTATCTCCAGTTAGCAACACAACAGTCTAAATTTATTTTTATATTGGTAATGTTTAATTTTTTCAATTGATATTCATATACTTGTCTATATCACGTATGTATATTTGATTGTCTATACCACTATAACTTGTTGATTAGAAAATTATGAAACAAAAATCCCTTGCATATTTGCTTGAGTATGTAATTTTGTATTTTGTACCTTTGTTAGTGTTTCTATTTGATCTTTAAAATATATAATACAATATACGCACATGCACAACATATTAAACTAAATGAAGATGCGTATTTTTTTATTAAGTTTTGTTTGTATTACATACTTTTATTACTAATTTGTGAAAGTACTTTGTTGTTTGAAAATTATATATACACTGAGTATTTGATTCAGAAAATTTCAAAATGTAAATTTGGTAACTATAAATCTCTTGTATATACACTAATATGTATGCAGGCAAATATTGATTTCTTCTGTTGTTCTTTTTTAATTTCTAACTTTTATCTAATTCTATTCTAAATTTTCAATGTATCAGCACTTTTACCACCACCACTACCAACATCTTATAAGCAGGGACGGAGCCAGAAATTTATTTTTGGGGGGCCGAAGTGTATTAAAATTTTTTTTTTGTGACGAAATAAATATATTTAATAAGTAAAATTTAGAATCAATAATTATAAAAATAATAAAAACATATAATTATATGGAGAATGATTAAAAATGGTAGCTCTGCAGGGAGGATCTGGGTATGTTCGAGGGGTACGATATCAGAATGTGAGAGTAGATGACGTTTCAAATCCCATTATCATTGACCAATTCTACTGTGATTCGCCGACGCCTTGCCAGAACCAGGTATGATTCACCCTCTAGCTTCATGGTTTTCCAGAATAGCTGGTTAATTGGGAACCAGACGGACTTTGTATTTTTTGCTCTCTTTGGTGAATAAACTCTGAATGATACTAAAATTCGACCAAAAAAAAAAAAAGTGCAGGCAATTGTTTATCTACTCATCCTTAAAATATCCTGACAACGACTTTTTATATCCAGAGTTCTGCAGTTGAAATAAGTGAAATCATGTACAAGAACATTAGCGGGACTTCCAAAAGCAAAAACGCCATGAAATTTGCATGCAGCGACACGGTTCCTTGCAGCCACATTGTGCTGAACAACATCAACCTAGAATCTAGGGATGGTACCGTAGAGACTTATTGCAACTCTGCCATAGGGTTTGGGTATGGATACGTGCAACCCTCTGCGGAATGTCTGACCTCATCAGACAAAGAAAAAATCATCAAGCAGGAGCCTGAGCTTGCCCTCTGCGGAATGGCTGGGCTGGCCGCCGGAATCCCCTATATATAGGGGGTTTTCCGGCGGCTTGGGGGGGCTTAAGCCCCCACCAGCCCCCCTTAAATCCGTGGCTGCTTATAAGATCATTACATAATTTTGATATGCCAAATGGTCAATCAAGAGTCAAAATATTGCCAATTGCGAATGGCGGGATCATCATCCTCATCCTTATCAAAACAACGTTCTATATCACTTAACAAATCTACTCTATAGAAATCTTTCTTGATTGGTTACACAAAATTTTGTCAAAAATCTGATTCTTCCAATGGATGATCACCTTCTAATCCTAATTTCAATACCATCATTAATTTCAGTTCTAATTGCCATTAGGGCCCTATTCTTACAAAGTAAAGATATCTCAGTTTCGTCTCTACAAAGAATCTCCTCGTGTATGCGGTTCAAGACCTGACCGTGTAGTTTTACTATCAAAATAGCATCTTTTCCTATTCTATGAATGCTTTTGAATCTAATTATTCCATGCAAGGAATATCACCAATTAGGACCATATGACATCTCAATTTCTTTTTTACAAAGAACATTATTTCCTATGCAGTTCATCATGATCTGATCATGTAGTCCAATTGCTAAAGTAGCATCCTTTTCCCATTCTCTAAATACTTCTTAATCTAACTCTTCCATGCAAGGTACACCTCTAACATCTAGTGAGAATTTTCAAGACCAATTAACATGATTAAGCAATCGAGATTGGTTTCGAGAAAATGATTGAAAATCTTGTGAATAATTTATTAGTATTAAATACAAAGAAAGAGAACGAACAAGATAAAGAATAAGAGAAAACCATTAAAGAAGTAAAAGCACATTAGCAAACACTATGATGTATTCAGTGTGGAAGTAGGCCAATATTTCTATTGGCAAATAGGGGGTTTTCAAGTTGATAACCAAGTATTTATTATTTGTTGGGGAGGGAAAGATAACCACAAGTAAAGTCAAGTGCTAGAAAAAGAACTAAAAAAATACAAACTGATCATCTACCAAAACAATTATCTACTGGAATATAAGTTTGATGATCTAATTGCTTTGAAGTTTTCTTCCAAGAAAATTCAATCAATAGTCTCAAACTTTGAACTTGGAGAAGAATGTGGGATCTTCACTCACAAATCAAGGGGAGCATATAGAAGAGAACATAAATAAATTGCTCGTGGCAATTAAGAAAATTAAGAAAAAAATAGGCGCTAATAAGAATAAGATTAAGAGATGTGATAATGAAAAGATAACGAAATGTAAAAAAAAGTAACCAAAGTAAGAGTAAGAGACGGAAATTAAACTACCGGAGCTGTCGCTTTAACTTATGATAGAAGAAAATGAAAGAATGCTGAGTGACAAATTGATATAATACATAATCACATCTTTAATACACTAATTACTTATAATAAATATATGTTTAACATTCCTACTTAACTTTGGTGTTTGTTTTTTAGCAATTGATACATGGTTTATGGTTAGAATACATAGATGCTGAATGCTACAAAGTCAAAGACAATCTCTGGAAGGTTTACCTTTGTTCTTTTTGAAGTCTTTCTTCATATGTTCTTTAATTTTAATTAAAACGAGCTTCCAAGTAACTAGAACTACTAACTAATATAAATTTTCTTGCTACAATGGAGTTTCTGAAAAGATGAAATAACACATAGATTGTATGTAATCCACAATTTTCATGGGGAATATTTTTAATATTTTTAAACAAGTTAATTTTAGAAAGTTAACATTGGTATATGTGTTAAGCACATTTTGAAAAAAATTATTGTAGTACTAGTTTCAACTTAATATTTTTGCCAATTAAAGTAGCTCCTTGATCAATTTTTTGAGTAGAATAATTTTGTACGATCGTATTTTGCTTTATACAAATATTTTATGATGAGTACACTTTGATGAAAATAAGTTTAGTGGCCATCAATTGTTTGAAATGTGTACTTGAGAAATAAGTAACTAGAAAGTCATTTCAATATGTTCAATTGAACAAAAAAATTGAGCAACATCAACATGGCGATGTTTTTGATACCTAAAAGTGATCAATGAAAGTAAAGAGAGGGGTCACCTAGATACTAGAGGGTTTGTTTGGATAGGAGGTTATTTGAAATAATTACTGTAGCACTTTTTTGTGATATGATGTATGTGAGATAAAAAGATGGTTGGAAATTGTGTGTATGATGTAAGCAAAACAAAATTTGAGATTTTTATAAGAAAGTCTTGCAATCCAAACATACCTGCATAAGGATGATGTTTTAGAAAGCAAGGTAGTCGTGCCAAAATTTGAATTTCGAATCAACAATAAGACTAACCATAAATAAAATATAAACAAAATATCCAACACCAAGATAAATCAACAAAATATTATTGTACAAACATCATTGTACAAACATCATCTATCAATTATCCCTTGGTCAGTTTGGTGCTAATTCTTTGTACTGTGGTCCTGCATTCTTTATCTTTGATTAGGAATATTCTTTATTTTAAAACACACAGTATGAAATAGTTGTTGGAAATATTGTTTATTAGTTTTTGCCCAAAAGTTTTAGGCTTTAATAATAAAAAGAAAAATCTTGATATAGAAATATAAGATGGTAAAAGTAAGTACTTTCTTAATTTATTTTCCTCCTTAATAAAATAAGCATGAGCCACACAGATATTTAAGAGCAGATCATAAGTGAGCGTGTTGGTTGCTAACCATGCAATCATTCATCATCTTGAAGGTGAGTTTGACAACTTACTTTGGAGTACTCTTCTTGACTTATTCTTACTAGTTCAATTAAATTAAGTTTCTATTTCTGTATCAAATATTATGAATATTTGTTTTGATAAGCTTATTAGTTTTCTTTTGTAGCAACATATATATGACCATTGTGTTATACGTCTCTATAAGTTGACTTTTTACCTGCACCACTCGATCAGACTCATGAGCAGATGCACATAAAGGTAACTGACTTTGAGCAAGAACCGTAATAGAAGCTCCAGAGGAGTTCCTTAGTTTCTCAATATTTAGACCATTCAGTCCAATCAAACCACCAGCTTGCGTACCAGCAATTAAGAGCCTAATTGTATTAGCAGCAACATGCCCAGCTGCTACTTTCTGTGGCTCAACGTTAACATCATCATCCTACCAGATGCAGAATCAAAATTACCACATCAATGAACTTCTCTTACCCAACAAGTTGCCACACCAAGAACCAAAAAAATAAGAATATATTGAAGAATATATTGAACATATTCCCATAATCAAGCACGTAGAAGCTAACAAAGCTCACAAGAGGTCAAAATCTGTGGCCCAAAGAAAAGAAGTGGGAAAATTAAGCATATACATGCCAAAAGTCTGTGGCACCAAAAAAAATGCAGTAGAACAATTAAGTATTTCAGATTTCTAAAGAGATTATCTAGTGTTCTCAAGCATCCTAATCTTTTCTACTGCTTCTTGCACATGTTTGAGAAGTCACGTTGCAGAGTTGTCCTGCATCTATTGATATCTAAAAGTTCTTGGAATTAGTTTTTTAAGGAGAGTCAACTATCTTTTGCTCCTAAGTTGTATACAGCAGGTATGAATGGAATTGCTATAGGCAAACACAGACTATAGAGAAAGGATTCTCAGACCGATTAAAAGAAAATCCTCTGGTGACGACCAGTAACTTTTTAGAAATTCACGACATATCTGAGGTAATGGATTTCTCAGGAGACAGATGTTCACAATGGACACTTGATATCATTTGAAAAAAAAAGTAAGTGCCATCACCTTAAGGATCAAATTGACAATATGATGAAGGGCCATCTCAGCATCACAAAATATGTTGTCACTGTCTTTTGAACTTATGATGATTACTCTTTCTTCATGCCGCTGCAAACATCAAAATTTAGAAGTAAGTTCCATTCTCTGAGAAGGAAAAAACTACTAAACAGATAAATGCGATGTAATATATCAATTAGCAATGATGAGACAAATACAGCACTTCTCTTTGTCTGCCAACAACAACTCTAACTGCAAAAACAAACAACTTTTTCTGCTGAGGGTTTCCAATTCTAAAGTATCTAAATCTATGAGAAAATTAAAATGCCTCAGAAATTCATTATTCAACAAGAGGGATGATTGCCATATACTTAAGCCAAAAGAACGCAATTAAACAACACTCAAGACATCTTCAAATTAGGAGACAGAAAATTTTCTGCATATATATTTTTTTTGGTATACAAGGCCAATCTTCTCGTTTTACTGACTGCTCCTGTTCCAACCAGCCACCACACAAAAAGCCATACCACAAAGTTTGTAACATTTTGGAAAAGTCAATCTAGTGGACCTACCAGTTCCTCCTCCTCCCTAGGACCCATTCACAAAATCCCCACCCACCCAAAACAAATATTTGTACCGCTCCAGCACAGCTTCTGCCCCACTACCCTCCATCTCCGACAAATGCAGAATAGAAATGAAAAAAAGAGAAAATACAAACTATAGCAGACTCAAATAACAGTCATCATTGTTATATTCCCACGCGACCATGCAAACACAACCAACCAACACTGCCCCTACCATATCAGCTACTGCAACTCTACATTTCCCACAAACTATGTCAGCAGCCAAATTCATCAACTGACACTGACAATCCTTCCCAACCTACACCATCTGCCATCATTTCACACCGACATTGCTACGATCATCTAACATCCCCTCCAAAGCCATGCACAACTATCAAAAAATCATTTCAATACTCCCCAGCAATATCCTAGGTTTTTTATTACAAACTTTCTTGCCCAAAAAAATCCAGGTTTCTCAACATGAAAAGTTCCTGATCACGTTCCTACTAATTCAACTAAACATTACATGTTTGCCAAGATCCAGTACCTAATACTAAATTGGCTATGTTACATGGGCTCAAGTTCAGATGTGATATGTATATTACATGTGTATGTGCGCACTCGTGCAAAGGTTGGATTGTCTAATGATTTTCAGCTTACAACATCTTTTCCCAGAACTCAAGGTTAACTACGCAACAGCGTCTTAACTTTAGGTGACTTTCAAATAGTAATTAACAAACAAGTCATCCCACATGGCTAGCTATTATCCTCTCAGGTCAATACAGCCATGCTTGAAAATTTGACCTTTGCTCTACTATCTTTCTTTATTTTACTTCATTACTCCAAATTTACGAATGAAACTCCGTTTGATAAATGCTTTATAAGCTATTGGCCAGGTTTCCATATCAGTTACCAAAAAGGAAAATTAGATGAAAATATGCGTTCTAAAAGCCCAGCCTTTTACAACTAAATCTACTCTGCAAAACGTAGGCTTTCTAACCCCACATCCACGTCCTGAAGCAATTTGCAACGTTTTTGCCCGATTATGGACATCAATGGTTAAAAGGATTTTTCTTATTGATCATCTACTCAAAACCAAAATTATCAAATTCCAAACTCCTAAACTAACAAGACATTTCTGTTCTGCTACTACGTTTAACTTCAAGTCACTAAATTGCCCTAATAAAACAACAACGACAAAGATTGCTCTTTTTTTTTAAATTTTTTTTCAGCATTACAAAACAAAATTAAGAGAATTAAGAGAGAATAAGCAACAAAATTTAAGCACTCACAGCTATAGCGTCCGCTATTTTAATATTTGCTTTGGTATCTTCACGAATCTTCTGAATTCGATGCCCAACTCTACCAATAACCTTCCCAATCTGCCTCGACGGCACCACTATACGGTAAAGGACGTCCTGAGTGACCTTGACCCGCCGTTTCAGTGCCGGAGCATCAACGGATGTACCGGCGGCTTCCGCCTCACTGTCATCTTCTCGAGGACGCTTCAACGTGTTCGACCGAGGCGGATCTTCGATCACTGATGGCATAGCCGAGGCTGCAGCTGCAGCTGCCCCTGGAGGCGACGCCGTGGTAGAAGAGGTCGCCGGAACCGAAGCAGCCGAAAGTTGTGCCGGAGTGTTTGGGTTTACAAGGGTTTCGTTCGGGTATTGAGATTGAGCCATTCTGGGTAGGGGCGAAGTCTACAGACCTGAAAATATATCTCGGATCATTAAGCATCCAAAATTACTACTAATATATTCTTTGTCAAATATATATGAGGGAGTTTATGATAGGAAAGAAAAGAATGCAAGGACAAAGATGTAATTTTATTCAAATGCTGTTTGGGTTAAAAATTGTGGCGTGTGCGGGGTTTGTGACTAGTTCATTGTGAAAGGAGTAAGAGTGATATGATTGGAAAAATTTTCAAAATGGTAACAGGAAAATTACTCTCTCCTAAAATGCAAGTTTCATTAAATTTAGGGTAAATTCCAGTAAACGCTGTCAAAGGACCCCTTATCGATTGGAAATATTTACAGAACTCCTCTCTCTTGACTAAACTAGAAAAGAAACTGCTCAAAAATTGGCTAAATGACTGGCAAAGCATAAAGACTTCCTGTTTGGATTGTTTTTTTTTTTTGGGAGTTTTTGGAAAAAAATTTATTATAGAAGATACGATATATATGAAATAAAAATATAATTGAAAATTGTGTAGAAGAAATATTCACAAAAAAATGATAAATTTTTCTGTAGAAAAGCACAATCCAAACATATCCAAAATTTTTCTGGTTCCTTTCCTTTCAATTGTTGACCAAACCAAAAACTTATAGTTTTTTAATTCCTTTTCTTTCCATTTTCCTCTCTTTTCTTCCTTACTTTTATCTGTATCATTCTTTTTCTTGATGGTTTGGTAGTATACTTTTCTTGCTTTTTTTTTTTTTTTTTTCAATGTTATGGCATTTCAAATGGGCAAAGAAATGGTTCACATCAACATTTTGATAATTAAAATTAGTAGGGTCAAATTTGTTCTCCAGTTGCCAGAAAGTGGCCATCTCTGCCACCCATCACTGCCATCTTCATACAATTTTCATCACTAATTAACACCTCCAGTTCACTATCACTACTCAGTACCACCAGCAGCATATACAAACATGATTTCAAAATTAAATTTCTCAAATATCATAAAAACCCCAATTGTATTGCAAATCTATGGTGCCTTTATCATTACCAAGTTCAAGTCCCAATTTGAGTAAAATTTTTATAGGAAAACAAAACCTAGACCCATAGATTTTGCTTGCTCCACCACCACCACTCCTACTATTTCCGTCCCTCCTATCGCTTCCCTGTCACCCTTCTTCCCCCATTTCTCATCCTCTTTCCTCCCCCAATTACCATGACTTCTTCCCACTTCCGCCTTCTTCCTTTTACTTGATCTTTCCTTCATTCCCTCTTCTTATATTTTGTTATTGCTCTCCCACTTCCCCATGATTAGAGTGCTATGTCTAGCCACAAGGAAGGAGGAAGTGGCGAGAAAAAGAGGAGAAAGAAAGAAGAGGGGGATGAGGAGGAGGGAAAGGGTCATGTTTGGCTGCGGAGAAGGGGGAACAGCGGAAAAAAAATGGGAGAGGAATGAAACAACAAATCAAGGAAAAGATGAGAGAAACAGGGGGAAGGGAAATGAAGAGAAGAGGTGGTAGTCAGGGAGAAGTGGGGCGAGGAAGTGGCAATCGAGAACAGATAACTTTAGCATTAATACAAACAGAAAATCCATTAGATTGCAAAATATTGTGAATCCTCAAATATGCAACTCAGCTTCTGTAACCAACAGGACTCAGTGAATTTAGTAATTGAGTCATGTTTAAGGTAGTTTTAATATATAGTAGATGAAAAATTAGCATTGCAACCACTTACAAGTATAATTGTGGCACTTTTCCTTTTTGCCTGTAGTTGTTAGGTTCTTTTTCTGAGTGCCTTAATGGAGGCTCTTAATGCTGCAAGTTGATTGGTTAAAAAAAAACTCTTAATACTCAAGACTCTTGGTGTGGATGATTTTGTTTTGTATTTTGGTGTGGTTGTTTTAGAGAGGTATGTTCATTTAAGTCAATAATTGATTTATATTTAAGAGAATTTTAATGAGCAATAAGTGAAGAATCATTTCCAATGTGTTACAAGTATAATTGGAGTCCTCTTGAGCTTTCTGGCAATAATAGATCTGAGATTTTAATATTAAAAAATGTTGGTTCGGATGCTTGTGCTCCATATTTTAGTATATGAAGCACAAGTATGTCAGTTTTCTTTTTCTCTTTCTTCAGTTTTTGATGTTTACCTGATACATTAAAAAAAATATGAGTTTTCTATTGCAATATTTTCTCAGGTGTTATTGCATGAATCTAAAAAATTGATTGTGGAATGCATGATACTCGTGAATAATCATAGAAACCTTCTTACATCTTTTAACTGTATTTGCAAAATCTAATATCCATGGCTACATGTGGTTAAATTGTTAGCAAAGGTTATTTGTTCATTGCAAATTCTTGAATAATATAGGATCTAAATTTAGCCTCACATTTGATACATGTTAATTGTTGATTGTTGATTGGACGTTGATTGTTGTTTAAGAAAATTTTGGACTGTTTGTTTAATGGGAAAAATTATTTGTCATAAATATTGCTTGCGCAAAAAAATGGTGAAATTCATTTGGATTTTTTAAACTTTAGTAGATTTGGTTTGAAAAGGTCCTTCTTAAATTTGTTTGAATGGTTATCCTCTTATTATTATGTATATATATATAATCTGCATGTTTTTAAGTTTCTTGCTTTTGCCATCCATATGTAAATTAATCCAATATCAAACTTGTTTATCAAGATATTATAATTAGGTTAAAGAATAAGAATACTTTGTGTATGATATGAGGGCCTCAGTCCCACGTCAAAAATATGGCAAGGAAAGGAATTGTATAAGAATCTAGGCCTATGGGCAACTTAGTAACTTGGGGTAATAATTTTGAATTTTATAATTCCATGCAAAAGTTATTTGGACCAACCCATGAACTTGGGGCATTACAATTAGTATCACAGTAAATATTGTGTGGTTTCAATTACGCAAGAGAGTGCAACTTTTTGCGTGGTTTCAATTGCACTAAACAATGCAAGGAATTAAGTGTTGTGTGGGACTAAGTACCACATTCAAACAGAGATCATCTCTAAAATCTTCGAGACTAATGGTGAGTTTGATAAAACTGAAGTCTAAAAACTAAAATCTGAAATCTGAAATTTAAAATCTAAATCCATTAAGTTATTGAATTGTTAAGTATTAAATCTAATATATTTGGGTATATATCATATTCAATGATAAGTGAATAAAATTCAGTGCCACTTAATTAATTTAGATATTTAATTTTTAGTTATCAAACATGTTTGAACATGTTAAAATCTGAATCCATTAAGTTTAAGTGTTAAATTGGATTATCAAATAAGACCTAAGTGTCTGTTCAAGACTAAGTGCCACGTTCGATAGAGATCACCTCTAAAACATGCAAAGACTAAATGATTGGACTAACCTGTGAACTCAAGGCGTCATTTATGATACTAAGATCTCAAACTTGTTAACAAGTAAATCCTAAATATTTCTTCAAAAAAAAAGTAAATCCTAAATAATATAACTTACAAGATAAAATTTTACAGATCTACTAGTATTCTTATGGCCATGTATTACTAACAAGAGTTTTAAATGTGTCTATTTATCTATTTAAATGAAGAACCTTAAAATGAAAATTCTTTGTAATCACATAAAACTAATGATGTCTTATTACTATTAATACAGAAATAGCTAATGTCTTATGCCCTCCATAGGCACTAAAAAAATATATGTTAAATGAGAAAAATTTTATAGACTTGAAATCTTAAACCTTAGATAACTTGTACCTCTCTTATTCATAAATTTACCATTCGGAAACATATTATGATCAAAATAAAGCTATTCTATGTGAATTATATAATGTGAAACTAATGGGAAACAAATAAATATCTAAATTTACTCATTCAATTCTCCATTTAATTGCAGCATACTCAACTAATAACTTCGTTTTTGGGTTTCAACTATATCTATCTCTTTCTCTTTGTCTCCCACTTCTCTTCTTTTCTATTGGTTTTCTTGGATCTTCGCCCTCCTACCCCTTTACCGTCTCTTATTATTCTTACCACCTGATATGAATTATTCACACTTTTGTAAAGTCATGATGGGTTGTGTTGAGTCATTGATGATAGCAGAAGGCATGAAAGTAGAGGTGATGATATCGCTAGTCATGTTTTGATGCTTCGTGTACTTAATGGTGGTAGTAGTAAGAATGCAATAGAGTGATGGTGGTGGCAATAGAAATGGTTTGCGATCTTGTGTTATTGATAATTGTGGTGGCAATAATAAAAATTGGTAGAGTGATGGTTTGATGGTGGTGGTGGTAGTAGACTGTATGAATAGTGGTAGAATGATAGTAGTGTAGTGATATTGATATGCTAGCCCGCGCTGGGTTGGTCTGCTGGTGGAAGTAGCCTCCTGAGGTGAGTTCCACCTGGGTTCGATCCCGGACAGCAACCCAGTTGTTATCTTCTTCAACATCGGTCGGGCCCGCTCTACTGAAGCGCTGTGGGATTAGTCGGGTGTAGACCCGAATACCCACAGTGATGACAAAAAAAAAAAAAAAAAAGATATTGATATGCTAAAAAAGTGACGGCATACTCAAAAGGAGTCATTTTCAAAAGGAAAAAAAAAAAAAATACTATGTGAGTAACTTAGACATCTCACATGTATAAGTCAATGAGTATATGAGTATTCTTATGTTTAACAATTTATTTATACATAGATAACACATTTTCATGCAAATCACTTCCTACAATATTGAAGTTTGTATAACATTTTGTTTCGCTATATATGATACCTTATCAAGACAAAATATTTGCAATATATTCATATTTTATAATGTATTTTTGCAATTTATTCTCTCATATATTTTCGCTTTATGTACAAGTATTATTATAGTTCATAGATAATTTGTTATATAATGTGCTATGTGGTTTCAATTTTATTAATACATTTTATACATATAATTAAGATATGTCATACTTTCTTATACTTGAACTCTTTCCTTCCATTTAGTGATTCATATTGTCCAACATAAAGAAAGAAGAAAATGGGTACTTGTTTGTCACACCTTTAGTGTATTAATAATTGAACCATGAGAGAGATATATTTTAG